TTTTATTAAGTCTAATAGGAAAGCAATACTCAGCAAAAACTGAACTATGTAAGATTATTCAGCCTAGACTTCATGGACTTAGAATAAGGTCAATCAATTCCAAAATGCTCCAGCTGTCAAGGAGTAAACCAACTGCACAAGCCAAAATTGCTTTTTAAGGTACAGCTGACACTTGATATTTACCTTTTAGTTCTACAAATTGCTCCATTCCTGAAGCTGTGCCCCACAAGCTTTTCAGCAATTAATTAAAAAAGAATTACTGCATTATGTGCTCCTCAGCCAATACTGATAATCGATTAGCATCCTCACCCAGTTTAGGACTACATGGCTATTAACTGCTTGGAAGGATTACAAAAGCTCCTTGTGAGGAACTTTGAGGGCATGGTATCTCGTTCTCACATGTAAAGTTGAGCAAGGCTGTGGCTGTACTTGCAGTAAATATCCTGACCACCTGCATTTTCAGCACCTGCACTGAAGTAGTATGTCCATTTTGTATCTAATTCTAATGGCAAAACTGAATTCACTGAACAAAATAGTTGAGCTTAAGTCAGTTTGGTAGTTCTTTGATTTGGACCACCTCAAAAATTGGAGCTGTAAGCAAGTTCTAAATTTTAGAATTCTTGGACATTCACCTTTTCTGCCCATTTTGTTTTGCTACAGTAGGAATCCTAGAAATCTCACCAATTTGATACTTGGGTTGTTCACAGTAAATGGAGTGATAGCAGTTACTATTTGGGATTGCTTCTAATGGACTAGCACAGCTAACTTCAGATTAAAGCGAATGCTTTTATCTGACATGCATTAAAGCATTTAATGCCATCACAAAGGAATTCACACAAAATCCAAGCATACAAGCTATTATATGGCAGGATATGAAAGTCTTGAACTTGCACACTGGGTAACCGTGAATGTTAATAGGTTTACCCATGCAGCTGGCCACATTCTGCCTATTCATTTACTGCACATACATACAAGACTATTAAGTAATCCTACTCCTGGTTTAGAAGCAAAAAGTTTATCAGTAAGGGTTTCACTGTCAAAGTGTTCCTGTATTTTCCTATTATATCTGCTCATACTTGAAAGAACAGCACATGCAATAAAGGGCTCATTAACTGCACAGTAGCCAAATGAACATAGCTCTTCTATAGCACCAATGATTTCCCAGAAACATGCATCAATGTCCACACCACAGATGGGAACAGAAGTCTGATAGTGGAAAGTAGGTAATGATTGAATAAGGGTCTAATATAGATCTGCTGGACTAGTTCCCTCAGCCAATTTTAATCACAGCCTTCCTTATACCACTTCAGAAAAACTGTGATTTGTCCAATTTCAAAATTGCTCATGACTTTATAAAACATATTTGCAGTTTAATTACCACATTTACATGTTCTGGACTTTCCCCACAAACTTGTAAGTAATGACTAGTATTACTTTTCTTGTACATAAAATGAGCCAAAAAAACCATTACATCTAGTTCTCACACATTAATAGCATAATAGTTACTCTATAACTAAAATATATTGAGATGTTATCAATTTCTTCTTCTAAAAAAGGCTGCAGCAAGAACTCTTCTATAAAACAGAAGAACAAGTAGTTATAGAACATAGTTCATGTTTTTAATTGCAGGGTTGCAAATCTCAGTCAATGAAAACACAAGACATCAGAAATGTAAAGCTTCTGGCCTGATTTTATTATAATGAGAAATTTATAACGAAAAGGATCAGCGGTAACGATGAAGTTGCAAGGTGTTGCGTCGTCTCCAGGCAGCACGACGTGAACCACCGATTGTATGATGGAATTTGTGGCCCTTCCCAAGGCCACGGCTTTTCCTGCCAGCAGAGGTTAGCCCACGCATCTCTCTGTGTTTGTGAACTGGCTTGGTGATCCATTGGGTGTCTGGGTTACGCCTAATAGCCTTGTGGAAAGGATCAATCAGGATGACCTCAAAGAACTTGTATGTGGAATCTTCACCCACCCAGTAAGAATTCAGTACTCTCAGGGCTCCACAGTGGCGACCAGCACGCTCCTTGATGAAAAGACAAGGCTCATTTAAGTACATAAATATACTAAGAAAAATCTGAAATTTAAAAGAATGGCAGGTATCTGGTAAACAAGCAGAAGAACTTCATTATAAAATTAGGTATTTAATTATGACATTTAAAAATACAGTAAGAATTCCAAACAGTTAATTTAGTACTATCTCTATAAAGATTTCATTAAGCACTTTTAAATTTCCAGTACAACACAATCAGTTGGCATTGTCAAAGTAGAACAGACCAATGCACAAGTCTTTATTAGAACATTAGAGTTATTATATAGTGAAGAATGAGAACAGTAAGGAGTACTAACCTAATTACTATTACATTAGATACATTATATGAGTTTCCCAACCTGGTGCCTATCAGGTATTTTGATTTCAACTCCCATGAGCTCTAGCCAGTATTGTCAATGGTCAGGAATGTTTGGAGTTGCGGTTCAAAATACCTGAAAGAAAGCAGGTTGGAAAATACTGTTTTTTCTCCTGTAATGCTGCTCTGGGCTGAGTTTCCAGAATTATAAAGTATGCATGCCTTAACAAAGAACACAAATAACATCTACTTAACTATTAAACACCTGCCCACCAAAGAAAGCTCCTATATTATTTCTGGGTCAAGTTTTAACTACCAATACAAAATAATTTGCTGCTATCATGCTATATAGCTTTTCCATTCACTGTATCTGTCTTTCTATACATGCCCAGTTATATTTAAGGCAGAGGAAGTATTTTGCTTCTCTAGAGAGCAAAATAAAGCCATTGCATATTGCAGCATCCTTCAGAGTTAAATATTTGTAAGTTCTACCCAGGAATTAAACACAAAAATGCAAGCACTACATTAGCTATGAACACACTGTTCATTAACTGTACTATCTCCTTTGCACAACATACACCACTTTTAAAAGCTACCATCACTATTTCCAACTCAGCAGTATCCAGCTGACTTTTTGAAAACTGGATACCCTTCTAATGTGATGTGAATTAAAGGACATAAAGACATACCATAAACCAACTGAAACCCATGACAAGTTTCAATATCGCTTAGTCCTTAGATTATGACGATGACTGTTTTCAAACTATCTGGAAATAGTAAGAATTATAAGAACCTGGCAGTGAGAAAAAGGGATACCCACCTCCGCTACAGACTGCAGGCTCCGAGCAAATTTCAACTGGTTGACACCATGATGTACAGGTTTACCATAGGTAGCACCCTTAGGGACTGGACGTTTACGACCACCACGGCGAACACGAACACGATAGATGACATAGCCTACAACACAGATTATGTAAAACAATGTTCCAGGTTTCCCAGCAGTATTTTTTACTTTATTTTATAGTAAGTATTCTTCCAAATATTGCATTGTTTATAACATCATTGAATAATCTCATTTGAATAAATAAGCCTTCATCCAATCACTGGACTGCCTCATGTTTTTATATAGTCTATTTAGGCCATCCAAGATTGTCTTAAGGCATGAAGAATGGGAGGGATTGTTTAGGTTGTGTGAATGGCAAACAAAAATGGTAAGTTGCCATTATAGGATATGCTTAAAGTTTCCTTTCAACCAGCTTGATGCAGCAGATGTGCTCTTGTGGTTTAGTATCATTGCCTGCAGGATGGCCTGGAAATTAAGCTATGCTGCTTTTACTCTTAGCACATTTTACTAGCACAACAAAACAGTAGAGCCTTGCTCAGTGTAACTAGGGACATGCACTCTAAACCAATGGTCAACAAACTGGTGCCTTCCAGATGTTTTAGATGAAACTCCTGTAAGCCTCAACCAACACAACTAGTTATCAGATATTGTGGGAATTGTACTCCAGAACACCTGTACTAAGCACATAATCAAGTGGGCAGACTAAGCTCAGCATTGCTACATTCCTTAAGTTGCAGTTACCTTGCTTAGCTTTATATCCCAGCCGTCGAGCTTTGTCTGGTCTGGTCGGCCGGGGAGCTCGATGGAGAGCAGATAACTGGCGATACTGCCAGCAACGAACACGCAAGAGGAAACGCATCACATCTGACTGTTTCTTCCTCCATAATTCTTGAATATATTTATAGGCACCCATCCTGGCTTAGCTGCTACAAGAGACACAGGTTTACATTCCACTGAGAAACATGCAACTTTTTACAATGTGTACAATTATAAAGTGCAGTTTTTAACATAATGAATTTGATTCATGGGCCTCAAAGCATCTTTATTTCCACTTTGCTATTGGTATCCATGTTTGATTTTACAAAAGTATTATAGACCAAAAGCAAGAGCGTTATTCTTCTGACACCTGTTTATCCTACTAATGCTATTTTATGGGAACATAGTCTATATAGTTTTATGTTAAATTTACAACGATAAAAAATAGCAACCACTTTAAAGTTGAAGTGAATCGGGCTGTTGAAAAACTGATGTTTTGCAGGGCCCGGCCCTCTATTTGGCCATGGAATTATGATCCATTGTAGAGAGAAATTACATCCCTTCGCCGGAGCGCTGCGTGAGAAAAGTCCCCACACTTAAATGAAAAGCATCCTAGTAAAGCAGAGAAACAAAACTTTGTGTATTTTTCCTTGTCTTCCCACCCAGTCCCTTCAACGCTTCTGGCGAAAATCTCTCGCTTCGTAAACTGAAGGCCCAAGACACCATCCTCTCAATCCGCCACCACAGAATTAAAAGCTTCTCATCCCGATCCGGATGAAAAAACTCAGCCACCCTTCCCCTCCCACTTTCACTCGTGAGGGAGAGCTCTAACAAGCCCCCGCGAAACCTTCCAAATTTAGGATGGCAACGGATTATACCACCAAGAACAGCAAAGCCACGAACCTTAACTGCGGGAGCCCCGAGCCGGAAAGGAAGAGGCCTGCTTCCCAAAATGCTTTGCGCCAGAACGCGTTGACGTCCTGTGAGGAGAGTCTGTGCGCAGGTGCTTGCTGGGAAATGTAGTTCAGAAGGCCATGTGACACGGAAGGCTCTGATCTCGGCAAGGGTAAAGAGAACGCTGACATAATCTCTCCTCTTTTCCTAGAAGGTGAAGAGCATGTGCTTAGTCAAATGAGAAACCCTAAAATTTATATCTGTCTTGGAAACACTTCTCCTTAATTGCATAGATTGCATAGTTTCCCCGCAGTTTCCCCACAGGAGGCGGCAGCAGTGGGGAGAGGAAATGCCCCCAGACCCTTCAAAAGCTACAACTTTATCCTGCCATAAGCTTTCCGGGGGCGAAGCCCCTCCTCAGGTGGACCGAGCAAATACTCATGGGTTGGGAGTATGTTCAGGACTCGTGGTGCCGTGAGGATGGCAAAGCCCGAGGGAAGTGGAAGCATTTTATGATGGAAAATGCCCTTTTCATCAAATACTGGACAGCTCTCCCACTGCTCCCCCATCCTGCCCAAACAGCCCGACCTGGCTTTGGACCTCTTGTGAGGGAGGCCTTTTCATTAAGCAGGTTTTCCTCTTTCCTTGTGCCTTAATTATATTTTATATGTATATAATGCATATTTATACTATAGTTTATTTTCAATAACTTTTTATTTAACCAATATTTTAAAGTTAATTAGTTCTAATGGTTTATTTATTTATTTTATTGATTTATTTCAACTATATTATTTTATACAGTCGTGGTATAGCCAATTTGTTTGTTTGTTTAGGATCAGTGGGTTTTAATGTTGTAAACCACCCAGAGAGCCCTCTAGGCTATTAGGGTGGCATATAAATGCAAATAATAAATAAATAAATAATAGATAGAGTAGTTTTGTGTTGTCTTTTAAGATGTGGGTGCTCTCTGCACACACTCAGAAACACTCCCCCTTTCACTCCTGCTTTGCAGACCTGGGATTTGGCGCTGAAACAGGTGTACCTAAACTCCCGGTTCAAATTAAGCTCGAATTCTATCCCACAATCAGATGTTTCTTGTGGGTTAAAGGGATGAGCAGCAGCTTCTTTTCATTTCACATTTAAAATCAGGGTAATTGGGGGATTAGCGTCTGCTCTTATACCCTGACCTTCCTCTAAGAAAGAGAAGGCAAAAAAAGTGCTACCCCTTTTTACTGCAAGAGCCCTGTGAGGTAGGCAAAATGGTTATGTGGTTGGTTTTGGGCCACTTTTTCCATCTTTTCTGTAATTGCAGAAAACCTTTTTACAAAGAAAAAGTGCATAGCGGTTAAGCAATGACTTCTCACTGATAGTGCTGGAACCTGCTGTCTGGAAATACAGTTTCCCTGATCCATGTGCTTTCTATGGAGTAGATAAAATATTGGATTTCTGTTCTATACATTACTAATGGACAAAGAGGGAATTTTTATTTTATTATTTATTTTTATTTTATTTTTTTATTTTATTTATTAAAACATTTCTGTTTAGTTTAGTTTAGAATTCTGATTAGTTCTGATGTATTATTATACTGATATCTTGTCATTTTTCATTTTGTAAGGAGCCCAAAGCTGCTTACATAATCTTCCTCTTTCTCACAACCCTGTGAGGTAGATTAGCTTGAAAGTTAGTGACTGGTCCAAAATCACTCGGTGAGCTTCATGACTGTGTACAAAGGATTAAACAAACAAGGGGTATTAGCTCCTTCAGTCTGATTCTTCTGGTAGAAAAGAATAATAATGTTGTCATTTCTCAGTGGCTTTCAAATAATCTTAGAGAACTTTTTACCTCTTACCTCACAACAGAAAATGTTAAGGTTCAAGGAGCTTTGCAACTGCAGTGTTTTTACTCATTATCATTCAAAAGGTGGTTTTTATGTTCAATTCTAGGTTCTTCAAATACAGTCTTAGTGTGTCTCCATGAAGCCGCTCATGCATACACTTATGAACATGTTTCTAACCTTGAGAAATTAAAAAAGACCCCTCTTCTTTTGGGGAAGGTTGTAGCTCTGTGACCTAGTGCATGGTTTGGATGCAGAAGTTTCCAGTGATAGTCATTGGTGCTACTGTATAGAACAGGCAAAGGCTCCTGACTGGAACCCCGAAAGTGGCCACCTATGGAGCTGCCTTCGCCAACCTAGCGTTGTCCTGATATTTTGCACTTAACTTCCCATCAGCTCCTACCACCATCATCTTCGGTCAGGTATGCTGGGCATTGTAGTCAAAAACATCTGGAGGATACTGTTCTGGAGAAGGCTGGTATAAATAATGCAAGCTTAATGGACTAATTCATTGATTTGGTATAAAGGATCCTATATTCTTTATCCTAAAACTCTTTCTTTAAAATTAATTTCAAGCTCAGCAAATTTGGGATCTCATTCATAATACTTGTAAATATCACCAACAACTGTGGTATTTGGACAGGTTTTCTTAGGTGCGGCCTAACAGTGTGAAAGGAGATGGGCAAAGGCTACAAAGTGGTGGTTTGTGGAATGGCTTCTGTGGGCAAGACAGCCATTTTGGAACAAATTCTCTATGGTAATCACACCATTGGTAAGAATCTTTCCTTTTCTTTCCAAAAATAGCTTATTGCAAAATGACTGTTTTATTTAATAATGAATCTAATAAAATAATGTAACTCAATTGTGTTATTACTTGTGAAAGTGTTTGTTTAGGGCACAGGCCAATTTAGTTCATATCATGGTCTCTAGTAGAGTTGGAAGAGGCCAAGAAGGCCATTGGGTCCAATTCCTTGCTGCTGCAGGACACCAATTTACACTCAGATGGCTGTTCCGTTTCTTTTTGAATGTCTGTAGTGTAGGAGAGCCCATGGCTGCTCTAGGTAACTGGTTCCAATGTCGTATTGTTCTGACAGCAAGGAAACTTTTCCTGATATCTAGCCTAAATCTGGGTTATAGCAGCTTGAATTGATTATTCTGTGTCTTACACTTTGGTATCAGCAAGAAGAGAGCTTGACCTTCCTCTTTGTGACAGCCTTTGAGGTACCTATAGAGGGATCATGTTCCCCCTCAGTTTTCTCTTCTCAAAGTTGAACATGCCCAGTTCTCTCAGTTTTTCTTCATAGGGCAGTGTTTCCAAACCCTGGAACATTTTTGTTAACCTCTGCTGGACCTTTTCTAATTTTTCTGCAGCTTTCTTAAATCTTGGTGCCCAGAACTGCTCAGAAACCTCAACATTTGGACAATTATAGTACCTATGCATTGTAAGTGTGCAGAGATGAAGATTGCCATGCAAAACATTTACAATAGCTAATCTGGGCTGCCTGTTTGACCTTGGAGCGGGTAGGAAGGAGTGTAAGGCTCTGATAAGAAACTTCATATGCTGACAAAACTTGTCTCCTCCGATTCTCTCCCTCAAAATCCCAACTCCAGGGTTCTTTTTAAAACCTTGGAGCAGCAGCTGGTATAGTACCTTCTGCACATATACTGCAAGGGAAGGAGGAGGGTGCTCCAAATCTAACCTCAGCTTTAACCTCAAAGCAAGGTTCCGGGGTTGGAGTTGGGACTCCAAAAAACCCTTGACTGTCTTAACTCTGTCTAGCAGCCATAGAATTGAGTGATATTTATACCCTGCCTTTCTGCTACAAAATAGCATTCAAAGTGCCTGCAGTAGCAATTAAAATTGATTAAAACAAATATTACAATACAGTAAAATGATTAGCACCCAAACCTCCAGCATTTTTAAGTCTTCCATAAATAAAGCAGACTTTCCTTTGTTTATAATTTTTAGTTGTTCATTTACACTGAGTAACAAACCAGGTTGCTTGTTTGTCAAGCCATGTTTAGAAGTTCCCATTATGGAAGAGAGTTTGGTTATGCCAGGCAAGGTACAAACATGGAGCAAAGGATGATTCTGACTTTTTGCCTTGCACCATATGTCTGTTAGGATGTCTCTTTAGAATAGATACAGTAAGAAGGAAACTGAGAGAACATCAGGTTCAGTTTGGCCTTTCAGTCATACCTCTGCACATTTGGCTTTTCTTTCTTCAGAAAAAAGCCTGCTTGTGTGAAACTTGAATGCTAAAATGGGGAAGAATGCAGGGCTCTCCTTTTGCTTCTTCCATGGCTTTCTGTTCCTTTCTGTAAATACTTGCGCTGTATTTTCACAGTCCCTGATCTGGTCTGGGGCAGAGTCTCCAGCAGTGGCCCCTTGCTCATCTCATTCCTTTTCCCATATAAGTGAGTAACTCTGGATTTGCTCCTAGCTGGGGACAAGGGAAGTATTTAAGGATGAGTTGGAATTGGGAAGAAGAGCTGCAGCCCTGAATCGGAGTAACCAAATATGGGAGGAGAAACAAAAGCATATAGCATAGCTTCTTAGGCATGGAGGACAGTGTTTTCCTTGACTGAGTGGGGACAGAGAATTTTCTCATGGGGACCACAGGATACAAAACAGTGTCTTGTTCATGAAGAGTTGGTCGTGGAGGGTAAGACCACTGATGGCCATTAGTCATGAAAGCCACATGTTACCTTCAGTATGAGATGTTATATGCTGCTGAAGAATATAGGAAAAAGAGTATAATATAAAGAAGAGTTAATATAATATTATAAAATAAGAGTTGTGCTGTATCAGACCAATGTTCATCTAGTCCAGCATTTTGTTCATACAGTGCCCAATCAGCTGTTCAAGGGAAACCCACAAGCAGGACCTGAGTTCATCAGCAACTTTCTGCACTCGTTCCACCTACAATATAGATGTACCACGTCTGATACTGGACATAGCATGTAGCCAGTGGCAGCTGGTGGCTGTAATGTAGATGGGACTGATGTTAGCCATCCATTCCGGGCTGGGGTTTAGCACCATGGACAGCTCCTTCAAATTTCTGATTAAAGACTAGAGTGGAGCTGCCAGCCCACCGATGCAAGAACCACCCAATGCAAGACTAGTAGGCACAGAAAGTGTTATCTGCTCCTTGAGAGTGGAAGGGCGCTCTTGCATTCCTGTCCTGTTGTGTGCTTTCCATGGGTGTCTGGCAGCTGCTGTGTAGATAAAGCGCTGGAGCTGTCTTAGGTTTGGTCTTGCACAACTCTTCGTATGTTATGTCTTTATTGTCTCTGCACAATGGTGCAAGAGAAGAAGGGTTCCGATCCTGAAGGATGCATCTGCAAGAGCAATAGTTCAACGTATAGCAGACTTCACATTTGTACTTATTCCCGCAACACATGATTTGATTAAGTAAATCTATTCATTTGCCCTTAAGCAATAACAACAACTTCAGTGATGATAAATGAATAAATATCAGTGCAGGAGACAAAGGAAATTGTATCTCATTACAAAGCCATGTAAAAACAGAAAATGGGGTTGTCAGAATCCATAGTCATGGATCCTTGATCCCATGTGCAGCGGAAGTTGTGCGAACCATTCTACATATGATTTGTGTTTTTTTCATTTTGAAAATAAAATAGGTGCAGAATGCAGCTCAACAATAGAAGATATTTATGTGGTTTTGGCTGAAACAGATCGGGGCGTAAAGGAGCAGTTACGTCTCTATGACACCAAGGGAGTCCAAGAAGGAGAGGAGTTCCCCAAGCATTACTTCTCTATTGCAGATGGCTTTGTTCTGGTTTATGCTGTGAATAGCCTGGAATCCTTTGAGAGAGTTGACTGGCTCAAAAAGGAGATTGACAAGTGCAGAGACAAAAAAGAGGTAAAAGACTGATTCCTTCATTCTTTCTCTGCACACGAAAGATTATAATAATAAAATGATACATGAAAGAAATTAAACTTGTTATCTAAAACAGTTTCCCCAGACTACTTAGTAACCTGTAGATCAAGGACAACACTGTATAACCCTTAAGATATTTTGGCCTACTACTCTAGATCCTTTAACATAGTCTGTGCCAACCTGGGCTGATGGAAGCTGTAATCCAAAACACAGAAGAAGACTGTAAGTGGCCCACCCCTGCAGTAGATCAAAGAGTTTTTGTATGTACCAGAGAATTCAGGAGTGTGGATATGAGAGAAAGGGAAATGTCTCACTATGAATAAATCCTGGTAAAATGCAACAGAATGGTTGCTTGCTATGGGTTGCATCCAACATTGCATGAATGGACTTCAGCTTGTGTGGTGAGATTTTTTTTCCTCCCCTCCCCTCCCCTCCTCTTGTCTGCCATTCATTCAACCTGTTCTAAACTGGGGGACACAAGGACTACAGTGCGGTGGGGGAAGACATGTATTTTTTCTACTGATGGCCTTTTTTTCCTGCTTTCCTTAAATGTTTTTAGTCTTTCTGCATTTCTTACTCTTTTTGCAGAAGGTGCCCTGTGTTTCTTTCCCAAAGGAAACTGCAGAGTTGAGGGGGGCAATCTCACAACAACAGGACTCCATATGAATTGAAAAAGTTGTTGTAAAAGGGTCATAAAATTCACTGAATCCATAGCAGCCTATATCATACTGGCATTTGTGCTCATTATTTCATGGTTGTTGTTTAGCTTCCTTCAGAAAGCAGGACATAAATTCAAATGAAATTATAGTACAAGCAGTAATGGACAATAGATTTAGAGGAAAATTGGGAAACATAGTTAAGCAGCAGTTCTGTGCTCAGTTACTTGGGAGTAAGTCTCATGGAACTCAGTGGAGTTTATCTCTGAGAAGACATGTATAGGGTTAATTTGTTTTACTGCAGCTGCTAAATCAGGCCCTTCAGAGAAGAAATGGTTTCTGTGTTTGCTAACAGAACACCACGGCTTGTATGCAGCTGTATGCTCTGCATCTTCCTGTAATAAACTGTATACACACAGAGAGTAAGAGCCTGCAATAAGTCTTTTAACTAAGTGCCTCTAACAAAAAAGCAAGGACTCATCTGGGGCCATTTAAAGCAAGTGTGTGTGTGGCTGTGATTGCATAATGTTGACTGAGTGAGTTCTTTCATAACACATGGGGCTTGCTGGTTGCCGTGATTAATGCCAGGGAAGAAGAAAGCCTTCACTACCTTTCACTGCCTGCAGTGTAACCACAATGCATTATTACCAAAGGATCCACTTGGATTGGCTTTGATCATGTCTCATGAGCTTGTATAAGGAGGATTCTGAAAGTGGAATCTGCAGTGATGGGAAGGTAGGGAGCCTGTTCCATAGTACAGCTGACTTGACACAGTGTCAGCAAGATTTGTCAAACTGTAGGCCTACATCTATGGGTTGTACGACTGCCCTGAGTATGGGCTGCCTTTGAAGAGGACCCCAAGGTTTGCTGTTAGATTGTGAATGCTGGCCCTACTTATCCCACAGTGCAGGGTTTGCATGCAGCGCCAACCCACAATACAACATCAGTTCACAATTCCAAGGCAGCTGATATTCAGCCTGTGCTCTGGGTTGTCATTCTGTGCAAACCAGGTCCTAGAGTTGCAGGCCATTCAGGCAAATCCCTTGGCCTCCACGATCTTTTCCTTCTCTCTGCAGCCTGTGCACTCCTATCAGAAAGACGGTAGGATGAGCTATGCTACAGCAGACTGCAGCTTTGAACGTTTCCCCAGGGCTGGCCTTACCTTTAGGTATCAGCTCCACACAGCAGATCCTGAGAGTTGTTAGAGGGGCGCAATTGTCATTACAGGTACTCCCTGAGTTATGAATGTCCAGGTTACAAATAGCCCATACTTACGAATGTGTAGACTGTCATAAACCCCATACGAATATCTCTATGGAACTACATGATGTATTTGGCCACATAGTTCCCCAGAGATACAGTAATCACAGCTGTTTCTTCTGTGGCATCTGGACTCTAGACTCTAGTGCCAGCCACGCCCCATCCCCCATTGCACAATCAACTCCTGACTTTCCAGCACCAGGTCCATCTCCATCAGTTAATATTAGTCTTAAACATGCTAAAACCCCTGTAAAGCATGGGATTAGAACACTTCCTCCCAAAGCTCTGGTTTCTGTTTGCAGGCAGACATCTTAAAAACATGTGAAGATATTCAAAAGTGGGAGCTGTCACCTGTTGTCCGCATCACTGTGGTCTGTTCCTTGGTGTTGGGCTACTTTATCCTGTCCTGTTCCCCGATTCTATTACACGTGTACACAATTTAACAAACAGTACATAGGAATAGAGTGCAGGATGGTTTGTGGAAGGAAGCAAAGCTGTGCGTAAGATATGCATCCTTCTTTAAAAACCTTGCTATCTGCCACAGAAGTGGGAAACCTGGTGTCATCCAGATGTAAAATTACAAATCCTACTGCCCCAGCCATTAGCCATGCTGGGTGGGACTGAAAGGATCCACTGGGTCCAAATTTAGTCATACTAAATGCAGTCCCACTGAAATCATTAGGACTTATACTTGATGATTAACTTAGGTTCATTCATTTCACCAGCTCTATTTTAAGGGTGACTGTGTCTGGATTGAGTCCTTGGAGGGACATGGGTGCCTTGCTCCTGCTCTGCACAGTCACTTTACTGCTCAAGAATCTTTTGCCGTCAGGTTAGCTTGGGCTTGTGCATGCAGAAATGGGGCGAAGAGGCACATGTGCAGAAGGGTGCAAGCTACAGTGGGGTTATTGCCACAGTCAGGGTTGCTTGTACACAGCCCTGGTCAAGGAATCAGTGATAGCTATCATTGATCAGCTGTTTGGAAGAGAAAGAAAGCAAACCTGCATTTCTTCTTAGATTAGTGGTATTGTTGGCTATGCAGGGACAGTTGCTAGCCCAGGATGGACACCCCACGGCTGGAACATGTGGGCCCCAACTACCCAGTGCAGCACCCACTGATATTCTGTGTCAGGAGTGCAGCCTGGTGTGGTGTGGGGTGGGGAAATAAAAATGCCCCCTTGAGCCCTGATGTTGCCTTTTCCTGCCCCAGTGGCTGCACAATAACAAACATCTGTTATTAAACCAGCAAGAATACTAGAATGTGAAAAAGACAACAGGCTGTTACAATGTAGCAGTGTCTTTGTTTGCTAGTACTACTGCAATTATTTCCTAATCTGATTATATAATCAGTTGTCATAGCAGCACTGATTCAGCTTCCTAATTTACCAGTGTGCCTTGCACTGAGAAACCTGAATCTCACAACACCTATCCTGTGGGCAAGTCTTGAATTGACTCATCCTGTGGTACAGAAAAAGTGCCACTGAGGCAGAGGGAAAATAGCTTTCCTTCTCTCTCTATCAAGCAGCATCAATCACTTGCAGTTCAAAATCTAGAAGGTGCACCTCAAGCCAAATTTTACAAATTCGGCTGAGCCACAACTGTGCAAATATTGTTAAATGAGCCGCATTTTGTTAGGGGCAATCTCCATTGCAGGTTTGCAGGAGAGCAAAATGATTTGATTTAGTGCCACACACTCTGCCTAGAATGCTACCATGAGTGAAAAGAGAAGTGATGCTTGTGATTCAGCTCTCTAGAGCAGATTCTGTGAAATGGACACTGCAGGGAAAAGAGAATCGGTGAAGACGACCACTTCCTACTTGGTTCAGTTAGCAGAATTGTTTTGTGGAAGTACTGCCTTTCCACTTGTGGAAGAACAACTGTGGATCCTACCCTGTAAATGCAATGGCTTAGATCCAGACAAGCCCTTTTTAAATGCATACGAGCAACTTATTCATATTTTAAACCAGTTTTTATTCTGGAGAATAGGATGGACATTTTGGATGCCTTACAGCATCATCACAGCTATGTACACAGGTATTTACATCTCAACCAATTGGATCCAGTTGAGCAATTAAGGGGTGCTAATTTCACACCCAAGTACTAATGGATTACAGATGGTAGCAATTGTTTCACACCCACTCACACACATCCACATCACCCCAGTGTCATTGTAATATTTGGATGGTGTGAGCAAGACAAAGGGCTGGACTGACTTAGTTGTGACCAACTTCAGTCCCATTGATTCCAGTGGGTTTACACCAAGTATGAGTAAGTCTGGATGCAACCCAAAGGCATGGATTGTGACTGCAGTGATTTGCAGTCACAAGATACCAATTTTAAGCATTTGCCATTTAATGAGAGATCTTTCCTTTTAGAGCTGGTTAAAGTAGGGGCAGGAGTTGGCAACTTGTACGCCAAAACTTCTGGATGGCAACCACTCCTATCAGCTCTAGCCAGCATAACTAATAGGGAGAAATAATAGACGTTGCAGGCCAAAACATCTGGAGGGCCACCCCTTGTGCTAGGAGAATATTCATTACTGTGGATAATGCCTCTGTTGTGATTGTCTAGTCCACAGATGTGTCATGTTTGCTTTCCAGGCTGTGTCTTCTTGAAATTCTCTGCCATGGAATCTGCCATGGGGTCAATCATTTCAGCTGTTCTATTTTAGCTCCCAGCAGAAAAATTGGCATGATTTTCAGGTCATGACCACAAGCCAAGGAACCTTTTTCTGTTGGAGTGCCAAGTTCTATTTCAGACGGGCTTTCAGGGCCTATGTGGTGGGTGGGTCCAAAGGCAGGGCCAAAAAACTAGCACTTTCAGCTTAAAGGTTCTCATTGCTTGGTAAGCCAGGCATTTCAGAAAAGGGAAAAATGGCAGAAAAGCTGAGAAATTACTCAACACAAAGTGGTTGGGAGAAGAGGTGTGACTGGGAAACCACTGAAGGGTGTACTTGGCCCCTAGGCCTGCATCTTGGCATCTTTGTCCCAGACTGTGTGGAAAACTCTGTCATCCAGTTCTGCTCTGAATTGTTGGCCAGCTATTGGAGGAGCTGGTCAAGCTGCA